AAAAATGTAGATTTCGCTTACACCACAAAATAGTACATGATTCAAAAGTCACCGTCTTTAGTTAGTAATGGTTTTGCAAATTCCGGTGATCCCTCCAACTGTGGTAGTTTTCTCTTGACTACCCTACTGCAGTCACCTCGCCGAAGCACTCGCCATATATAGTTTTGGCATGGATCTGTTTATTGTGGTGTTTTTGTAACATAATGGTGACCTTTGTAGCTGTCGAGGATAATGCGTTCCTCGCGTGGAGTAAGTTTTTGTAGTCTACCTGGACGGAATTTCGGGAATTTCGCTATTTTTATGGTTTTGTATAATACTGTATACGATAAAATGACTTCGTTTAACAGTCTTAGATGTGTTTCTTCTATAATCGAAAAATTAATTCTAGCTTTGCTACTATTGTCTTTTAATTTCAGACCCATTTCGAAGAATAAATTAAAACTAAATTTTTTGGTTGTGATTTCGTCATCTTCAAACCATTACTTTTTTATATGGATTACGATATCATGTGTGTTTATATTGTCTAGACGTTTTAATAACACTGTCCAAATACTTATGTCCTTTTAAAATAAAGTTGTAACATATTGTATATGTACCTATGTTATTGCTGTTTGGACGCTTTCATTCTTATTCCTTTCTTTATGGCCGTAACCATTATCATACCTTCTTAATCACAGTGTTTGTCTTCAAATAGCATGGTCTTTTGTTTTTCATTTACGTTTGTCTGAATACTTATACAGCATGCCCCCCCCCCTTTCTGTAGGTTTATTAAATTTATAAATACAATACAGTAATACTTGTTCAGGTGTATGTAACAGCAAACGATACTGAAACCAAGAATTTAAATACAAATAATTTTGAACAAAGACAAGATCACTGAAAATACCTATTTATTAAGGGGTTTTTAAACTACACTTTTCGAACACCTTTCGTATATCAAACAGAAAAAAATACAATCACTTGGCAGGTACACATCTTCCGATAGGTCTCTAAGTACAGCACCATTCTAATGTTAAGCGTTAGTAAAACGGCTACAACATATTGTATGTACTCGACACACTGTTATTTCCCTTTCATCGTTTATCCGCGCCAACTTAACCTGAACGCGATGCATGTAAGCCAAGGGCAGCTTAGACGGCACGTGGCTATACTTGGTGACCCATATACCAGTCGAAAATGTACGACTGTATACGAATCGTACCAATCAATACTGAAATCCCACCTCGTTTTGTGAGCAAGCTAGGGAGAGGAAGGAAAAGAGGAGAACAAGGACATCAGGAGTATTTCATTTCCAACTGCGACGTTGAGTTGGTGCAATGTGTTCGTGTTATGAACTCCTATTACTTGCTGTACAAAACAGTGGTTTTTTAGTGCAATTGAATAACTTCAAACGTTTTTTACAGTAGTGTGCTGTTAGTTTTTTAGTTGAATTATACCGGTTTTGTATTAAAGTTACTCAATTGGATTAAAGCTGTATTTATCTACACAAAATTAATGTATATTGTTTCGTACCTATTTAAGGCATCTACGAATGTATTACCTAATACCTGTAGTGGGTAAGTTTTTTGTTCTATGTTTTAGTATCACAAGTCACGATCTAAATTGTTTCAATCAAGTAACTACTCATTATTAACGATGAGATAGCTAGCTACATGCATTAATTTCAAATATAACATTTTTAACGCATACCTATGTGTTATTGACCATTCTATCTTGGTTATAGCAAGGTCACTAATAACGCGAGTGGCTTGCAGTACCATGAATTTTATTGTCCGAGCGTTATTTTACTCACAAAGTTCGTTTTAGATACATTTTTTAGATTTCTTTGTTCGTATTCAGTGACCTTTGTCCAGGTACGACGTAATACTTTTTTGCAGAAATTTTTTATTGTTCATTGCGAAACACCTTTTTAGTTTTAGTTTTGTATTATCCTGCCATATCTCAATAAGTTTTAGGTATATCTTCACGATTATGATTGTGGTGTTTGCACGAAATATTTGCAAACAGCATACAAAACAAGAGTATTCTGGTTTTGCGTATGTTGAACTATGATAAGAGAATTCATAATACCTATAATAAACGCAATTTTTATTTAGTTTTAATTTAAAATATAGTTAGACTTATTGGTGAATTTCGACACGTGTATATCGAGGTCATCGAACTGCCACGTGTCGAGGTGGAACAAAGAGGACGCTAGTTTTCGTCTCTTTCTATCCACTTGGCCTAAATAACGCGTAGTGGAACTTTCTCACAAAGTTTAGGCTATTACGTATTAGTATAGTCACAGTCTAATCCAGGGCCGCGCATATAACGCGGTGGTGGGAGAAGCCAGCCAATGCGGCAATCTATTTGCAATACCCCCACCACTCACCACCAAAGCGCTTGTGTTGGGTGAAGCGAATTCCCATTTTGTGCCTTCATATTCATCGAGAAACCGTCGACGAGTGAATGTTGTTCGCGTTTGTGTTCGTGTAAAACTGCTATCGGTTCTTGATTTATAAAATTTTCATCCATTGTACATAAATTGATGGCATATTTACAAGAAATTAAAGTAAAACGTGTTCAATTTCAGCAATTATTCGTATTTCGTAACGACCTACTTTTCTCAACTTCCGCATTGTAAGTATGGCGGCCATCTTGTTTAAAAGTCTTGCCAAGCAACGCAACGGTTTCTGCGCGTCTTTTTTTTCGCAAATGTGACGCAATTCAATACGCGAATCTGATTTTCATTGTATTTCGTAATAGGAGATTGTAAAATCGTTGGTGTGCGGTTTCTTTTTTTTTTTTCGTTAATTCGTAACATTCCATTTGCCATTGACAATAGCACCTTATGTGCGTGTGTGGCAAGTTTTTCATGGTAGGATGTATTTTGCAATATACGCGTAACATTATGCAAACATAGAAGAATGAAGCAAGCTAATGGGCGAACAGGGGAGAGGAATTAGGCTTACTTTATTTAAAAACAAGTCAGTCTTTTTCTCTCTCCTATTTAATCCATTATGACGTCAGCGGTGGAAATAGTGTTCACAAATTATACTATTAATACTTATTACTGTTAGGTACATATCTATTATGTAGTCTTAGTCATAGACTTTGAAATGGCGTTGCCAGTGGTGTTTTTATTTAGGGGTTGGTCTTTGTTGCCATTACTGTGGGACAGCCTCTTTAACCTTGGATGGGAGGGAGTCATTTTGAAGGACGTATATTGTGAGAGTCCTAATACCTATGAATTCTCTTTTTCTTCATGTTCGAGAAAGAGAAAAATTGTAGCCGTTGCACAAATTCCGTTGCATTATATAACTTGAAATCCATGTTAAGTTCCTACTTGTGCTATTTTTACATAATTTTTTAAAATTTATTTTTCATTAAATTGAATTTATAGACTAGGTACTTGTTAAAAAAAAATTAAAGTAGGTATTGGTTGTGGAAATTTTTAAGTTTAAAACATTTCTATTAAATCGAAATGGGTATGCTTTCAAGTTACTCATCGAGTGAGTAGGTACTCCATTCAATCCTATTTCCGGTGTGATGACAAAGGATTACATGTTTTCTGGTTTACGTATAATTAATAATTTCATTTAATTTGTGCAATACCATTACATTGCGAAAAAAATAACATGTGATGTAAACAATTTAATATTTATGACTCCTTGAGTAATTAGTAATTTAATTTTTTTGCCGTTCTAATAACAAGGTATTCTGACATTTAGGCTTCAGAATTTTGTGATGACAACATTACCTCTAATAAGTCTTATATAAAACTATGGCACTCCATTTTTCAATGTCTATTCGATTAAAAAAATTAAAGAGTCACTTTCAAAATTGAATTTATACAGTGGCTAGGTATAGGTCATGTTTTGCAATGAATAAGTAGGCACGTAATGAATGATACGAATAATAAATTGATAGACAAATACTACTTAGTAATTACAAGCAGGGTACAAAATACAAGATTTTTATATCTCCATATATTGTAGGGAAGATATCCTAGACCGGCCCTTACTTTAAAAAATATCATTCGAAATTTCGTTCAATTGGAGGTAAGTTGTCATTGTTAAAGAAAATTTCTACAATAAATGCCTATTTAGATACCTACGCCTGATAGAAAATTGATATCAATATTACCTTATTATAAATAGATTATTATTGTTTCGTTTTTGTTTTTTAATTTTTTTTTTCGCAAAAAGTGTAGTCAGTCTTCGTTCCACGCATTTATTATTTGTCCGTCGAGTTTACAAGTCCTGCTATATCCACCCGCTAGGAAACATCAAGGGTAGTTCTACGTCAAAATCCTTCAATATTGTTGCAAAGGATATTCACAATAATGCAAAGGATGACTATTAATAACCAATGAATTTAATTGTACTTTGTATGCACGTACCTAATGTATTTTTCAATTCAATACATTTATATTTAGTAAGAAATTACGCAACACAGTTTCGTGAGAGCTGACATAGGGTCATTGAACGCACACGTGTAAAAATGTAAGACAAGTTTTGTAACCGTATAATCTATGCACTCACGAGGCCAGAAAACTAAATTCGACCTCGTAACAATCAGGAAAACTCAAAAATGAATAAATACCTAGGTGTAACTACTGTTGTATCTACTTACACATGCAAAATTATTCTTCATTTCCAAAAATGCCTATTACAAAAATCCATCCAATAGGTACGTATAATATTAACCAAAAAAAAAACACAAACACTGCACGTGTATATGCCTGTTTATATAAATTAATATGTATCCTTTCCATAATACTACTCCAATTTATCTTCATTTTCTTGATACATTTTTAGGTTAGGAAGAAGTTATTTTATGGAAACAGTCTTGCCAGTTTTGTTATGGGTAAGTAATTGTTTAATAAAACAACTGAATATTCTATAGAATCTACTGTTGTTATAGAGCTCTATGAATACATTTTTTTGAAAGACATAGAAATAAGATAAAATATTACTGCCAGTAGGTATTAGTTACACCTATATGTTACATTCATTAATAAATTGCAAACAGAAAGTAATAATTGTAAACGGTAAAGTTGTTCTTTCAAGTGTAAATCGGTTTGTTGCCCCAAACGTAATTTTGCTGTTAATACCTTATTTTAACGTTGTTTTTCGTGTGATATGGATACGAATGAGGTCAGCCATGTTCCATAATCGGTATTTTTCGTGTCAATCTATGTCCGAATCGCGGAGTGCACAAAATAAGCCCGATTCGCCCGATTTAAATACTGTTAAATACTTACTATTAAACTGCAATGAATAAGTCTTTCTTTATGGAAAGCGAATGCTTATCGAGAGTGAGGGACGAGTGGTATTAAGAGAGATTGCAAAGTTAGTGTTAATATGGCGGCGTTAAGAGATCAGTGGGTGGTATGCAGTACAAAGATGAGGCGTTTCTGCTATTATCCAAAGGTAAAAAGTAGATGAGATATTAATACGTTTTGAAAACTTTTAGAAAATGGTTTCATTTTTTACCCCTTTAATTTTGGGAGGTGTAATTGTAACTATTACGATTGCAAGATACTAAGATGGTCGCAAATTTTTCAAGGTTGATGCCGTTCTGTAGCCAAATGGCGTGGTTTTGAAAGGAATAAAAATGTGTTCCTTGCATACAATGTTGGCTATACGGTATCGTTATCTTTCGTAAAAATTAAAAACGATGGGGTTTCAGTAAGTGGGTATACTTATTGTTGTCTGGTTTGCAGTTTAGGTTCCCCCCTCTCCCCCACACCGCCATCTGCTTATCTAAAAAATCATGGAAAATATATAAATCTGTTTTAACTACTTTAGTTATTTTCAACTGAAACTTTTTAGAGTAATTAATCCTATATTTATAAACGACTTCGGAACGATACCTATTTGATGATATTTTTTGTGTATATGTATCAGTATATATATATATATATATACACAAAATTATTTTTGTCTCTGCAGCAAATAAGTAGGTATTACCTGGCGTAATATTTATTATCTTAAAATTTATCGTTTTGAAATGTTAAAAAAACGTACTTTATCAAATACTTCTACATTAATAAACAGATAACAAAAATTGTTTTCTATCCTCGCAATAATAATAATGTATGTGCAAAAGTACCTATACGTATTAGGTAGTATCATATTTTTCCGTAATTTAATTGGTTGTTTATTGCAAAATCGTAATACACATAAATATAACCGACAACTTATTTAAGTATGACGCAATCGTTTGAAGGTCAGTTCTTGGAAACTGCGGAAACAGCTAAAAACCACATTTTTATTTTTAGGTAACAGGTTACATACATACGTACCTACATTAACTTTTTGAGTTGTTCCCCCTGTTGATGTGTATATGTAAAAATTAGAGACGCGCCAGTTTTGGCGGGTCCGGGTACACTGGATTATCCCTGCCAGGTATTCGGCCAAACATGAATAATAATGCAAATTTAAGTAGGTATTCTAAATAATGGGTGTCTAAAATATTATGACTGTTTGAGGGCTACATTGCAAAAAAAAATTTGTTGGGCCACGCACAATTTTTTTTCAACAAATTGAAATAAAATTTAATTCTATGTAGTTTTACACAAAAAGATGAAAAAAATTCAAATCAATTTTATAGATGAATTTGCTTTTGTTGAAGAAGCAAATCGATATCGGGTTCAATAGGCGAGGTTGCAATTCGTAACGCATTTTCAAGATGTTTGTCAGTGATCTTTGTCCTATTTTTGTATGCTTCATTCTTAAAAATAATTGTTCACAAATACATTATTTCAAAATAAATGTCAACGAATCGATTTTATATGAAAAGTACTGCAAACATTTATTTTTTTTAATAAAAATGCGTAAATTTGAATATCTTCATAATTTGCGTTTGGGCCGCATTTTAAATCCTGTTGGGCGGGTTTTAAGAGTTGATCTGATTAAAGATCCAAGGTAGTAGGTACTGTTTTCTTCAATTTTTTATTAGTTTATGTTAGAGCGTTATGATAATATAATCAATAGGAAATTGGTTGATAGGACACCTTGACAGGCCAATTAAATGCATACCAATTAGAAGCAGAAACAGGAGTTAAGAGGGGTAGTACTTTAAGATGTAGGTTGCATGAGTTTAGGAAGAAGTGAAGGTTCGTGTCCAACCAGTCTTAATTCTGAAAACCTTATGATAACTATGATGATAATGAGATGAATGCAGAAGTTTCTTATGTAGGTAGGTCCATTATCGGTGTTTATTCGAAAAATAACTAAATCGAACGATAAACCTACTTATTAATTATTATCTTTTCGTTAATTTAAACCTAAAATAAAGCGGACCAGCTCGGAAATAAACTTATTTCATGATAAAATAAATTAATTACATATTGTGGGTATATTCCTAGGTGTAGTGTTAGCTGTTAGGTACCTGTATGTATAGGATCACAGAAAAGCAGTTAAGAAAAATAAAATAAAATTTCACGGAAATAAGGACTTACTGGGTATAGGTACCTAATAATTAATATTGTTGTGATAAAGTTCTCCGAGATCATTTTATTTACTTCCACTCCTGGTAGTTTTTAAAATGCGTATACCTGTTCGCAACACAACCTCATTTTCTAGAAAATCAACCTTTGGTATAAAATAGTGCGCGGCGTAGCCTTGGTTCCACAAAACGACCACGTTTTCAGGTCGTGTTTTACTAATTCCGAGCGATACACATACACACAGATACCATACACACACTCACATTCGTGGCTAGATTCGGACGAGCCAATAGAAATGCGGCAGAATATCGAGGCTACTCCCAAACTTTCCATGGCAACAAGGACCAGCAGCGCGCCGCGCTGCTTCGCAAAGCTACGCTGGTTGGTACTGTGCCGATGCTCATTTGTCGAGTTGGCTGCGAAATCCACTTCCTGCTAGAGTTAGATAACAAGAAGACCGACCGACCGTTAAAGAATATTGAAAGAACCTAAATAATCAACAGCGGCAAATATAGGTAGGTAGGTAGGTGGTAGACAGAAAGAGGAGAGCAGCAGGTCATAAGGAGGTGGTCCGAGGTCCAAACGGACGGACGACCGTTAAAATTTGAATTTCGGAGAATTCAAGATGTCTTTTTCGTTTGTAATTATTGTGAGAACAAAACTGCGGATTTTTGTTTGGCATACAGAGATGTGATTTATTTGAAATACTAGCATTTAAAATACAAGTACAAAATAAAAAATACCTATTCTTATCTTGCATTTAAATTCTTTTTAGAGAAAAGCATTTTGTATTTTATTTAAAATACGTTTCCAAACGAGTTTTTTATTTGTAAGATGCAAAATAAATTTTTGCGTTTAAAAGTTTTGCTAGTATCACCGATCAAACATGAAATAATGAATGAAAGTTGCTCATATTGGCTACTGAAGATATTACAGGCTTAAAAAAGGAACAGAGAGACATTCTATGAATGCCTTCCAATTTTTTAACTGAAGAGAGCCCAAAATATTCTAAACTCCTTGGAAATGGATAATCTAAAATACTGGTTCTGGGTTCAGTGTCATGGTCCATGGAATTTTGAAGTTCCAAATTAATATTGGCACCTGCCAAATTACTACTTATCGTACCTTTAGCAAGAAACTACGAAATTCTATGAATTACGACAATATCGAATTGATATACGCCAGCTGTGAAAAACTGAAAATTATAAGACATTGTGGTGTGCTAATAAATGCATATAATCCAAAATTTTTAGAAAACGATTCAAAAACTTCACTTATTAGATAAACCCAAAGCTAAAGAAACTATGGATTACATTTCTTTCTAAAGAAGCATATAGAAAAATTATTTGTTGCTGAACTGCTGAAGAAACTATAACATAGAGATAGAAAAACTATATCTCAATCACTTCAAACATTCAATCTTCGCAGCTAGTGATATAATGCAAACGCCACTCTATCTAGAAAAACTCCAATATCTAAGAAATGAGAAATTGCCTGCAAGGTTTTCTTAATAAATATTTTATACTTAAGGAATGTAGAAAATTAAATAGCTACTACAAAAAAAGTATTTATTTGAAAAACGTATTTTAAAAATACATAATTTGCATTTGCATAAAGATAGGAGACGAAAAATTAGAAGTGGCTGATTTTAGATACCTAGGAAGTCAGATAAGTGAGGATGGAAGGAGTAGTAGGGATATAAAGCAGAGGATAGCGCAGGGTNAACCAAAAATTAAACTATTGATTGTCACCTAATAATACTTTCCTCATTAACTCAAAAATAATTTAAATGCTGTTTGAAATTAACCGGCAGAAAGCGTTTTACAGATTTTGTTCTAGGCAGTAGTTCTGATAACAAATTACTCGTGTATATGTGTAGATAAATATTTAATATTTTAATCGCTGTTTTCACTAAGTTCCTAATCTTATTTGCCTCCATATTTAATAGTTAGTTGCGCGGTGACACTTCAAAACTACTTATCAGCAACATTACTAAAGCAATAACAGAAAAAAGATATTCTTAATATTTTCAAAAAAGAAATAAGTGGATTAGGCTTCTTTGATTTGAAATGTAAATTTATTTCAGGATTTGCCAAATAACGATGGTCAAACTTACAATTAGAATAGATAAGGAAACGTAACTCATAATACACGACCCAATTTTCACAATTCTTACCCCATCTCGGTGACACCCGTAGTATAGGCCAAAACCTCCCTCCCCGTCTAGTTTTTACGTAATAATTTGTAAATATGATATTGAATCATTTTTTTGCAAACAGAGTTTTGAATATAACTATAAATAATAGTATCTAACGAAAACCTGAGCCCCCCTTCGCTTCTGTGACCAAGCGTGGTATTTTTGAAGAACCCCCTCCCCTTAGTTAGCCGTGAAAAAATCAAACTTCTAAAAGTCAATGCAATGATAAAACTATTTACATACTGCTTACATATATATATATGTATTTACTACTAGTGGCGGTCATATATAAACGACATTCCATTTGGTAGATTAGGGTTTGGGTAGAAAAGGCTGGACTTCAGGTAGATGTTAAAATGGCGTAAATGGATTGCCAACGGAATCAGTTTCTCGATTTTACGACTCTTTTTTAAGTGTACTGTTACCTAAGTATTTGACTGGGTGTTATTGTGTAATGATGGTACATATATTTTATTTATTTGAAAAACAATTAGTCAACCCTTCTAGCAGTAGGTAGAGCTTTTTTATTTCAAAAAAATACATGTACATATATCTACTACATTATTAAAAGAAAATATTAGTTACGACCTTGGAGTCTCTAAATGTAACAACAGGAGCTTTTGGATTAAAAGTGCCTCCTATTTGATTTGAGGAGAAACATTTTCTTCCGTCTTATTGACCTAATATATTTAGTTAAACGATTAATTATCTTTATGATCATGTGATCTTCAGCCCGAAGACTGGTTGGATGGGTTGGACACACAACTGTACTTCTTCCTACC